CGGCCCCGGGGCCGGTGCCGTGGTTGTGCGCGTTGGCATCCCGGACCTGCAGCAGACGGTGAGTCCCCCGCGCCCTGCGCCCCGCGCCCCGGACCCCCGCCGCGGCCACTCACCCCTCCCCCGCCACCTCCGCGGGACCCTCCCCCGCGCGGGCGGGGCCGACAAGCCCAGCCCCCGGGTGGAGCCTGGAGCGGCGTGGAGGCTGGGGTCCCGGCTCCGGCCGCCCGCCGGCCCGGGCGCCCTCCCGCGGCCCGGCCGCCCTCATGAAGCCACTCCGCCGCAGAAGTGCCTCCGCCTGGACCCGACCGCACCCGTGTGGGCCGCCAAGCAGCGCGTGCTCTGCGCCCTCAACCACAGCCTGCAGGACGCGCTCAACTACGGGCTCTTCCAGCCGCCTTCACGGGGCCGCGCCGGCAAGTTCCTGGACGAGGAGCGACTGCTGCAGGACTACCCGCCCAACCTGGACACGCCCCTGCCCTACCTGGAGGTGCGGGTCGTTCCGGGCTGGAGCTAGGGCACTGGGCGCGGAGCGACGGGTGTGGGGCGCGGGAGCCTTGTGTGCGAGTGGCGCGTGTGGCGGGCGGCGGGTGCAGAGTTGCAGTTTGGGCAGCGAGAACAGTGCGGGCCTTGTGCGTGCAGCTTGCAGCAAGCAGTGTGTGCACAAGTGTACAGTGCATGCAGGCAGCATGTTCGGGGTGTGCTGAAGCCTGAGCACTCGCCTGCGGAGGAGAGTAAAGATAGCCTCTTTCCCTGTGCCCCACTGAAGTCTTTCGAAGTGGGCCCAAGTCCTCTGCTCCATTCCTTGTAGAGAGGCGGACCTACCCCCCTTCCCGTGTGGGGAGAGTGCACTGAGCCGCTTAGGGGTCTTGTGGCTTGGGGAAGGGAAAGGTGACAATCCTGTAAGTACTCAAGTGAGAATGATGGTGGCTGAGCCAAAGGTGACCTGATATCCGCAGAGGGGCGTAAGGTCAGTTCTGCTCGGAGAGGAGCTGTTTAAGAGACCTGCTGTCAGATCTTCCGAAAGGATTGGGTTTTTCCAGGGAATCTTGAGGATGAGACCGGATGTGGGACGGCCACCACTGTCTTCTTTGTACCACGCATAGTGTCTGAGTGTGGCGGGTAGGCGGCTGCCGTCAGCTCTGTCTGTCCACTGGCAGCGTGTGTCTGGGGCTTGTGTGGCTGCCAGTTTTGCTGCACGGGGAGGTGTACAGGTGGCGCCTGTGAGTCGAGGGTGGAAAGCCGTGTGCGTGCGCACGTGGTATTGGTGACCACTTGCTCACTCCACCCACGTGGGCACCTTCTCTCTACCTTTTCTTGTCTGAGCAGTTTCGGTACAAGCGGCGAGTTTATGCCCAGAACCTCATTGATGACAAGCAGTTTGCAAAGCTGCACACAAAGGTAATCAGAGTCACTGGGAGGGAGACCCTCATGCCAACCCCCTTCTCACCATTTCAGCGTGGGCCTGACCATATCCCTCCCACCAGCATTTGCTAAGTCTGCCACACTCTGCTGTCAGAATGGGACTGGGTCCAGAGTGTGGCTGGGGGTGGCTGGAGGGCTGGATGTATTTTCCAGACTTAGGATTGGTGTGTCACCAGCTGCAGCCAGACTCTTGCTGGCTCTTGGCCTAGGGGGGCACAGCATCCTGAGTGTGACTGGGGACTTGGGGAGATGTAGACAAGCATCTGCTGTGTTGACTTTTGGGGACACTTATAACTAGGTACCTTGCTAATTTTCTGAGAGGGATCATTACTACCTATTTTGCAAACGGGGTTCAGAGGGCGCAAGTCATCTGTTTGTGACTGTAGCAGCTGATGGGGCTGGCCCACACGTATCCTGGCACCCCTGTGAATGCTGGGTATCATACTCATGTGATCACATGAATTCTGTGGTTGGCACTTCCTTGGTTCCTTTGAACATCTGGAGGGGGAAGCTGGGTGCCACAGCACTTCCCCATGGGCGGACTCTTTGAGACCTGGCCCAATTTGCAAATGGTCTCTGGAGCTTAGGAGAGGGCTCCTGTGCCCCAAGGCCCTGTTTGTGACCCTGAGTCCTCAAACTTTTGTCTCACTTTTCTGCTGCGCTGGGGCTCATGGCTCTCAACAACATTGGCTCTGTGGTTAGGTAGAGACCATGTCAGAAAAGACCCTGCTTCCCTTCACTGACTGTTTCATGTTCCTGTCACCCTGGGTCCCTGCCCCATGACTGCTCCTTTGACTCTTTCCCTGGTGGCCAAGAGAACACAGTAAGTTGCTATTAGTGAGTCTGAGCTCTTATCAAAACTCTGTACTCTTGCTGCCTGGCCTGCAGCCAGTGTTGCCTTCTGCCTTGCAGCCTTGGATGCTGAGGTCTTTTCCCCAGGGGTTTTGCACCACCTTTCATTTGGCTGTGGGCACCTTCCTTTGGTTTCATGGCCCCAGCCTGTGGCAGTGGTCTCGCACATTGTCATTTCTCCTGCATGCCAAGTATCTACAGGGCCTGGATAAGTCCTTTGCCTTGGTATGTGGTGTCTATGTGACCAGTGAGGTGTGGGAAAGTGAACTGATGTCTGATCGTGTGAATGAGTGACAGGGAGGACCTTGTCTCAGGGGCCCAGGAGTCCCTTCTGAGGTTCGGGTGGTCCAGAGAAGGACCTTGGGTACCGCAGGGCTGGCTTCTGCCCTCATGGACCAACAGCTTTTCTAGGCTGGGGCATGAGGGAGCCAGAACCAGGGTACCAGTGGAGGTTGAATAGTGTACTTGTGTCGGGGGTGACCAGGGTGACCTGGCCATTGTGAGGATGGCTGGGCTTAGGCTGACACCTGTGGAGGGCTTAAAGGTGAGGACTTAGGGAGGCAAACATGTTAGGTAACAGGTCAGGCTGGGGGCAGTGGCAGTGGGCCTTGTACATGGCCTGAGGCTTGCTGGAGGGAGAATGATGGCAGATGGTGGGGCCGTGGCAACCAGCTGATAGGGATGGCCCATGTTACAGGCAAACCTGAAGAAGTTCATGGACTATGTCCAGCTGCACAGCACGGACAAGGTGGCCCGCCTGCTGGACAAGGGGCTGGACCCCAATTTCCATGACCCTGACTCAGGAGGTGAGGAGTGGAGCCAGGAGGGACTGTCCTTCAGGTGGCTGAGACTAATTTCACCTATCCTTTACACCCAGAGTGCCCTCTGAGTCTTGCGGCCCAGCTAGACAATGCCTCTGATCTGCTGAAAGTGCTGAGGAATGGTGGTGCCCATCTGGACTTCCGCACCCGAGACGGGCTGACTGCTGTGCACTGTGCTACCCGGCAGCGGAATGCGGGGGCATTGACGGTCAGTGAGGGCAGGATGCTGACCCGGCAGGGTGAGTGGCCTGGCAGGGGAGGAAGCAAGGAGTGGTACTGGTACTGACCATGCTTGCCCCTAGACCCTGCTGGACCTGGGGGCCTCGCCCGACTACAAGGACAGCCGAGGCCTTACACCCCTGTACCACAGTGCTCTGGGGGGCGGGGATGCCCTGTGCTGCGAACTGCTGCTCCATGACCATGCACAGCTGGGGACTACTGATGAGAATGGTTGGCAGGAGATCCACCAGGTGGGCAAGGAGCTTAGGGTTGGCCTGGCTTTGGGTGGGGCCTTGCCTTTGTCCTGACTGCCTCTCTCCACAGGCTTGCCGCTTTGGGCATGTGCAGCACCTGGAGCACCTGCTGTTCTATGGAGCTAACATGGGCGCCCAGAATGCCTCAGGGAACACTGCCCTGCACATCTGTGCCCTCTACAACCAGGTTTGACTGCATGTTGCACTGTGTGCCCTGTGTGGTGGAGATGGGCTGTACAGGGTGACAGCATCCCAGCCTATGTGCTACTCTACACGTGTCCTGGGCCCTGTAGTGAGTTGTGGTTCCAGGGTATTCTGTGGTTCTGTGTGTGCACAGCTGTTCCCTATGCATACATGAGTTCAGAACAACTGTGTGTACACTGTATACATCCCGGCTTTCTGGATAAGTGAGACCTGCTATAAAAAAAAACACCTGGCCCCATCATATCTTAAGCAAGTAATGTGGGTCTGTGTATGTTCTTGGGCCCTGCACACCTGTCTGTGACCTCAGTGTCTGCATATGTGTGCCTGCCATTGTATTCTGCCCCTTCCATCTCTCCAGCCACCCGTGTGACCCCTGTTGCTCCCCACAGGAGAGCTGTGCACGTGTTCTTCTATTCCGAGGAGCCAACAAGGATGTGCGCAATTACAACAGCCAGACAGCCTTCCAGGTACGTTTGCCTGTGTGCTTTGGGTTTCCTGAACCTTGCTTCTTCCTTGGAGTGCAAGAAGGGAACACTCAGTCCCAGGATTCAGCAGGTGCAGTGGAGTGGCCAGTGCTGTGCCCGCTGTGTGAAGGGATGCTTGATGTGGCTTTCTTTTTCAACCTCCACCCAGAGAGGGAGGAAGGTTGAGTGTCTGGACAGGAGAGGGAAAAGACAGGAGCACAGACCCAAGAAGGTGTGAGACCTGTCCCTGACTTGCTCCAGGCCATGTTTCTGAGCTCTGTGCTCCCTGCATAGCTGGGTGGATGAATCTCTGGGTGGTTAGAATTTTGAGGTAGTTGGAGGGGCCTGGTGAGGCCTGTTCTCTGTAGAAGTACAGGTCTCTTAGAGAGGTGTGAGAGCGAGGCTGCTATAGTTATATGGTAGGGGCAGTGATGGAGGCTATGGACCCATCTGAAAGTTGGTAGTGTGTTAGACAGCTGAGGACAGGGTCCAGAGAAGAAAGGATGAGAATGAGAGGTTGGCAACTGTGGGGCCACGGCTGAAATAGGGAGTGCGATATGATGGGAATGTGTCCCAGGATGCTTACGACAGTGTGGTTTTAGCTTTTGAGAGTCTTATGTCCAGAAAGCTCTTTGGTCCGAGCACACTGGCCTATTCTGAGGTGTGTGGCACCCCTTAGCTCCTGTGTGTAAGCAGTTGTGGCCTAGGTGCATGAGTGGACAGGAAAGTGGTAATTTGAGAAGGAGGGTAGCCAGGGAGAAAGTCTTTCATGCCAGGGTCCAGAAGGCAGGAGCACCTGGGATTGGGGTATGTGCATGCTGGCTGCCTCTGTCTGCCTTCTTCATCGACTGCCCTTTCTCTCAGGTGGCCATCATTGCAGGCAACTTCGAGCTGGCCGAGGTCATCAAGACCCATAAAGATTCGGACGTTGGTGAGTTCTGCCCACCTGTGGGTCACTGTTGGCTGTGGATTGGTGTTGGTCAGGGGAGTGGCAGCATAACAAGGACCTGCCTCTGAAGCCAAGGGTCAGGCATTGTTAGAGGAAGCAGCTGTGTTGACTGAACAGTTTTCAGTCAGGCCAAGAACGATGGGCTTGGGCTGTGGGCTGGGGTGTCACTAGGCTTAGGGTTGGCATTAGTCAGGATCTACTTTTCTCAGTAGGTCCTAAGAAGGGCTATCTGGGGTTGAGGGCTGTGGAGCAGCCTGGCAACAGGGCTGTGTTTAGGTAGCCATAGCATGCTTTCTACCTGACAAGGTCCCAGGAATGTATATGTAGGAAAAAGACAAACAAAAAACCCCCAAAAACCATGATGGAGAAGAATAGTGGCCTCCTCCAGACCAGAGCTCTTGGAGGGTGGTGCAGGGGGGCCTCCAGGAAGCAGTTTCACACCTCTGCGGGACACTGTGTTAGGTGGAGACAGAGCCTCCCCTCCCACAGAAGATCTCTCTCATGGCTGTCTAGCAGCTTGATCTTCCATGTTCTGGATGAACCAGGCCTTTCTGCCTGTGACTTTTAGTGGAACATGAACTCCAGGCTTCCCTTCCTGTCCTGTGTGTTTACGTGGGGAGCCCCATCTTTTGTTTGTAAATTTGAGGGGATAGTGGGCAGAAAAGGCTGGAGCTGGTGTTAAGTGAGCATCTCAGTAGGTTTCTAATATTGGGTTAAGGCTGAAGTTAACTTTATTT